GCAAGCGCTCTACCACTAAGCCACCTTCCCAGCCCCCCCGTGACTCTTATCTCCAATAAACCACTCGAAAACCAGAAGTGGTGCTGTGGCTCAAGTGGCAGAGCGCTCGCCTTCAGCTGAAGAGCTGAGGGACAGCGCCCAAGCCCAGAGTTCAGGCCCATGACCGACCCCCCCAAAAAACAACAACAACAAAGTTTTACATATATAACCACCAACTAGCTATGAAGGATGGTGTTGTAAGGAGAGCAGTTCTACAGTGTAACTCCTCTGAACAACTAATGAATGCCGGGAAGCAGAAACCTGTCTGGGGAAACATACCCAGCAAGGAAGGGCCACAGGAGTGGAGGGCCAGCAACGCAGTCATTACAGTCAACGTGCAGCACATAAAAAATGAACTACTAAACCTGAAGGTAGGGATTGGAAGAGGAAATAGGGAAAACAATGGAAGGAGTGACACTGATCGAGTATTGTACTCATAACCTGACTGGTGGAACTGTATCCTCTTTGTATGATTACTTAACGTGGTCTTACGCTTTCTCATGATTGACATCTCGTAGTCTCCTCCCACTGAGATCCCGGCAAGCTTCTCGATTGGTTGTCTTCTCGATCTGAGCACCAAGAGCACGTAGCATAGACCCAAAACCTAAGGCAAAGCAAGTAGGAAAAACAGGTTAAAATGTGTTCGAGTTGCACATCAACCAAATCTGTGAAGCTAAGACTGGCAGTGTCCCTACATAGTTTTCATATTTTTCACAGAGATGGACATCAAGGTGCTAACTTAGGCAGCAGGCAAGAACTTGGTAACCTAACTGAACTTCACTTCTCTATCCTTCACTTCCTAGTTCTGAAATGCTGTTCAGTACAACTGGCACACTGAAGAACATGGCCAGTGCCAAAGAGCCTAAGTCTCTTCAAGAATCAGGGTGAAGGCTGGGAAGGTGGCTCAGTGGTAGAGCGCTTGCCTTGCATGCCTGAGGCCCTGGATTCGATTCCTCAGCATCACATAAGCAGAAAAAGCCACAAGTGGCACTGTGGCTCAAGTGGTAGAGCGCTAGCCTTAAACTGAAGAGCTGAGGGACAGCGCCCAGGCCCAGAGTTCAGGCGCCACAATCAGACTCAGACACACACACACACACACACACACACACACACACACACACGAATCAGGGTGAGGGCCGAGCGCCGGTGGCTCACGCCTGTCATCCTAACTACTCAGGAGGCTGAGATCTGTGGATTGTGGTTCAAAGCCAGCCTGGGCAGCAAAGGCTGTGAGACTCTTTATTTCCAATAAACCACTAGAAAATTGAAAGTGGCGCTGTGGCTCAAATGGTAGAGCGCTTGCCTTAAGCTGAGGGACAGCGCCCAAGCCCAGAGTTCAAGCCCCATGACCAACCCAAAAAAAGAAAAGAAAAAAGAGTGCTTGCCTAGCATGCATGAAGTCATGAGTTTCATTCCTCAGTACCACATAAACAGAAAAAGCCAGAAGTGTTGCTGTGGCTCAAGTGGTAGAGAGCTAGCCTTGAGCAAAAGAATCTCAAGGACAGTGCCCAGGCCCTGAGTTCAAGGCCCAGGACTGGCAAAAAAAAAAAAAAAAGAAAAGAAAAGAACACTGAGCAGGGCTGGGAAGGTGGCTCAGTGGTAGAGTGCTTGCCTTGCATGCATAAGGCCCAGGGTTCAATTCCTCGGCACCACGTGAGCAGAAAAAGGTGGAAGTGAAGCTGTGGCTCAAGTGGTAGAGTGCTAGCCTTGAGCTGAAGAGCTGAGGGACAGCACCCTGGCCCGGAGTTCAGGCCCCATGACCAAAAAACACAAAACAAAAAAAGAACAAAAATCACTGAGCAAGGCGGTAGATCTGTAATCCCAGTTATGATGGGAAGCATAAACAGACCAAAAAACACAAAACAAAAAAAGAACAAAAATCACTGAGCAAGGCGGTAGATCTGTAATCCCAGTTATGATGGGAAGCATAAACAGAAGGATCACAGTCCAGAAAGCAAAATAATCAGTGTGAAAGACTGGAAGTGTGATTCAGAGGGTAGAGCACATGCCTAGCAAATGGAAAGCCTCGAGTTCAAACTCTAGTTCCATACAACACATCCAAAAGAAAGACTGACACATCCTGCTAAAGACTAGAGATGTGCTGATGAAGCCGTCATCTTTTGCTTACCTCCTTTTCCCCCACGAAGTCTTGGCTCCAGTGTGTACACAGCTCCATGCTGCACCGTGTCTCCAGTCGCAACGAGGGCTCCATTGCATCTTACAAAGAAGCAGTCCACAGGAACACCCTGGGAACAAAGGTGTATGTTTCCCACAGGAAGAGATCTGGCTTTTATCTAATCATTATGCCAGTTTTTTTTTTTTTTTGGTTGGTTGTGGGGCCTGAACTCTGGGCCTGAGCACTATCCCTCAGGTCTTCAGCTCACTTGAGCCACTTCCGGCTTTTTCTGCTTATGTGGTGCTGAGGAATCAAACCCAGGGCCTCATGCATGGGAGGCAAGCGCTCTACCACATTCCCAGCTCCATTATTATGCCAGTTCTAAACAGACTTATGTTCCATTCAACACATGTTGAGCTGAAACTAGGAAGTTATATGATACACTAGGTACAGTTCATCCTAATCTTACCTAGTCATGATACTGTATAACTTTTTGCCCTTTTAAGTGAAAATAAAAATGGTTCTTTTCCTTGTCTCTACTATATCACCTGGGCCATGCTATGAGACCGACTATACAGTGCTCAAATCCACTAACTCTGAAGGTCTCATTTCCTCTGATTTTTGGTTTTACTATTTCCTTTTTAAAAATATTTTAGAGCCAGGCGCGGGTGGCTCACAACTGTCATCCTAGCTACTCAGGAGGCTGAGATCTGAGGATCGCGGTTCAAAGCCAGCCACGACAGGAACTTCTGTGAGACTCTTATCTCCGATAAACCACTCAGAAAACCGGAAGTGGTGCTGTGGCTCTAGTGGTAGAGCGCT